CCTTCCTTCCTTCCTTCCTTCCTTCCTTCCTTCCTTCCTTCCTCCCTTCCTCCCTTCCTCCCTCCCTTTCTCTGTCCTCTGCTGGTGCTCTGCCCAAAGGGAATGTAAATTTTAATCTCTGAAACTTTCTTTTTCTTTTTTTTTTTTTTTTGCCCTCCCTTAAAGACCAGCTTTAATCCCAAATCACTCTGGCTCTCATTGATTGGCCAACAATAGGTCCCTCCTTGGTCATTTTTTGAGCTCTGGTTGGCTCCCAATCAATGTAAATAGCAGTTATTTCTGTTTTGGCAAGAAACCCTGAGGACCTTCCCCTCCCAGATCTTTTTTTTTTTTTTTTAAAGAGGCCATTCTTTGTCTCATTTCTTATTAAGCCTTAATCACTGAATGGGCGCTGCCTCAGTCAATCTGAGACCTGTTAAAGACCTTAGTTTGAAAAGGCCAGGGTCTCCCACTGCGTCCTGGGCCATCTCCAGTCATCCTGATCTACATCTTGCACTCCAGAGGAGACAGTGAGGCTGGTGACTTTGCACAGCCTCCCTCACTTAAATCCAATTCATTTGCATGTCATGGCATCACCTCCTTGATGTCATGATCTTCTTCGAGAACAAAGGCCAAGCAGCAACCTAATGTACAACAAGACAGTTATGTCCTCAATGGAATGTATCTAACAAGAGTTGGTAAAAATAAATTTGTCTAGACTCTTTTAAAACTAATGAAAAGGGCTTTAAACTCAAAAGGAAAGGGGAGGAAGAAAACTGCTCACCCACCGAGCTAGAGGCAGATCAGAGCAGTAATAGTGTCAGAGAAAGAATAGCAACGGAGATGCCCAGAAATTCCTAGGGGACAAAAATCCAAGAAAGCACATGGTGATAAAACTGAGGACAGATGTCTATACATAAATGCACAAAGGACGGGGAACAAGCAAAATGAACTAGAGATCCGAATTGTCTGACTTTTCATGACCCCACTTGGGGTTTTTTTGGCAAAGATACTGGAGTGGTTTGCCATTTCCTTCTCCAGCTCATTTTTACAGATGAGGAAACTGAGGTAATCATGGTAAAGTGACTTGCCCAGAGTCACAGAGCTAGTGTCTGAGGCAAGATTTGAACTCAGGTCTTCCTGACTCCAGGCCTGGTGCTGTATCCACTATGCTACCTAGCTGCTCAGAGAGATCCTAATGCCAGGAGGCAAATTTATTTTCCTTGGTATCCTTGAGACTTGGCGCAGGAACCAACAAGAGGGAATTCCATTCCCAGATATGATTCTCACCAACAAGGAACGTATGGTTGCTAGAATGGAAATGATGAGAACTTTGGGGGGATATAACCACTATGATTTCCAGTTTGTAATAAGGATGAAATTCATGACTGGCATATGAATCTGACAGGACACACCTTACTCAGAAGGTAAAATCTTGGGTGGAAGAAGTGGGGTAGGTAGAGTAGCCTTGTACATTAAGAAAACACAGTCTTGTGAGGAAATCCAAGAAGCCAGAGTGAGGAAGCCTGGTGGAGAACAAAAGGGAGAAAATCAATAGAGGCAGACACAGAAATGAAACTGTCATCCATGTGCATTGCAGACCACCTGGACAGAAATAGGAAATAGATGAGAAGGTTGGGCAGATCCTCATCTTAGCATGTAAGTAGGGACTGGAAAGCACAGTTATTTGGATATCTGTAGTAGTTCTCTCAGTCTCTCTGTCTCTGTCTCCTCTCTCTTTCCCTCCCTCCCTCCCTGTTTCTCTCTCTCTTTCTCCTCTCTCCTTCTCTCCGTCTCTGTCTCCCTCCCTCTCTCTCATCTCTCTTTCTCTCTTTGTCTCTGTTTCTGTCTGTTTCTATTTCTCTGCCAAAGGCAGAGAAGCTAATAATTTCTTGACTTGCCATAATGGCAGAGGAATTAACGAGGAGGGATTCTGTTCTGAATCTGAGTCTCGCCAATAAGAAAGAAGTGGCTGCTGGGGCAGAAATAATGGCAACCATGGGCAGGAAGTGCCTTCTTGATCTTTGAGTTTGTGATAAGAAAGGAGGGGAAAGCTAGGCATAGTGTGACATGCTCCCTAGAGTTTGGGAGAAATTTCAAGGGGCTCAGAGAGTAGTCATTGATGGTTTGATGTTAATTCAGAAGAGAGGTCTCCAGTGGAGTGCCCCAGTGATCTGTTTGGCGTTTCTGCCATTTAATACTTTTTTTCTATGACTTGGATGAAAGCAGATGATACAAATCTGGGAGGGAGAGCTGAAACACTGAATGAAAGAATCAGAATACAGAAAGGTCTTGACAGGCTAGAACATTGGGCTGAATGGAATCAGATAAGATAACACATTATCCAGGCCTTACGTGCTCGTCCCCATCAAGGGTTTGAATGGGTCAACAAGAGCCCAGGCCAAGGGTACTCCCTACCCCTATCAAGGTTGGGGGATCCAAGTCTCAAAGGAGGGATCTGTCAGGGAAACAAGGTCAGAGTTCCAAACAAAAGCCTCGTCCTTTAACCTCATCAAGCTGAGCAGGCTCTGCGATGATGGACCTTCTTCATTAGAAAGGGCCCTGATGAGCTGAAGAGCCCCCCAGAATGGGGCAGCCAGGATGAGGCAAGACCTCCAATGGTCCATGCTGTCTGAGGGTCTATTGGAGGAGCCAGGGTTGTTAAATCCCAGGGAAGAGAAGCGAGGTGACTCAATTTCCTTGGATTTGGGTGTCCGTGCCCCAGGGATATGGGTCTTTCACAAAACCTATTCTTCAGTGTTTTTCTGTCATTTGTCAAAATCTAGCTCAATGAACAGTTTCAGTTCCTGAGGATGTAGCCATAAAAGGCAAAGGAAGCTTCAGCTGTAATCAGTGGAAAAATGATGCTGCCCACATTCCGTTCTGCCCTCACACTGTGCTACAAAGCAAGGATCTCTAAAAGGAGTTGGCGCTGCTTTAAAAAAAAGGGGAGTGGGGCAGATTCAGTACAACACTACAGAGAAGTGAACACACCTTGTTGAATCATAATGGGTTGGGTCAGGATGGAGAACCCCAAAGACTGCAGTGACTGGGGGAAGGACTCTAGCTGACAAAAACTGCTGGGAAAGCTGGACAGCAGCCGAGCAGACTAGATCCAAGCCTCCCACGGTACTGCAAGAGAAGACACAAATGGGTGACTATAATAGGTCCCATCCTAAAAAACGAGAGGAGCAGAAAGAAATCACCTGAATCGATGGAGAGAAGATCCCAGAAGATAAGGATGATTGTGTTTATACAGGATCTTAAAAGTTTTGTACAAAGAAATCAAATGGAGTAAAAATTAGAAAGGAAAGAGGTAACAAGGGGGAAAATCTTTGCAACAAATTTCTCTGATAAAAGTCTCATAGACAAGATATATAAGGAAATTATTTAAATTTATAAGATTAAAAGTCATTCCCCGTAGATAGTCAAAGGATATGAATAGGAAATTTTGAAAGGAAGAAATTAAAGCTATCAACAACCACATGAAAAAAATGCTCAAATTACTAATAATTAGAGGAATGCTGACCTCAGACACTTACTAACTGTGTGATCCTGGGCAAGGTACTTAGCCTTGTTTGCCTCAGTTTCTTCATCTGTAAAATGAACTGGAGACCAAAAAGACAACCCACTCCAGTATCTCTGCCAAGAAAACCCCCAATGGGGTCATGTATTGTTGGGCACAACTGAAAAATGACTCAACAACAACAAACAAATTAAAGAAACTCTAAGGTTCTACCTCCCTCCCATCAGAATACCAAAGAAAACCAAGTGACAAATGGGGGAGGGGCTGTAAGACTAGTGCATTGTTGGTGGAGCTGTAAGTTGGTCCATACATTCTAGAAAGCAATTGAGAACCAAGCCCAGAAAGTTACCAAACTGGTCATACCCTTTGATACAATGATACCATCAGTAGACCTATATTCTGGAGAAATCAAAGAAGGAAGAAAAGTACTTATATATTCAAAACCATTGGTACATGTAGCATCTTTTCATGGTGGCCCCAAATTAGAAACTCAAATTTTGGTATATTAATAAAATGAAATATTATTCTGCCATAATAAATGGTGAAATGGACAGTTTCAGAGGAAACTGGGAAGAGCTTTATGAACTGATGCAGAGTGAAGTGAGCAGAATGAAGGGAACAATTTATACATCAACAATATTATAGAGAAAACAACTTTGAAAGAGGTTGGAGTTTTGATCACCGTGATAATAAAGCATGATTCCAGAGGAATGAAGGTGAAACTCCTCACTCACCTCCTGAGAGAGGTGATAAACTTAAAATGCAGAAAGAGATGTACATTTTTAGACTTGACCAACGTGGGAATTTGTTTTGTGGGACTAAGTAAATATGTATTCAGCACTTTCTTCTCCTTTTTTTTTTTTAATTTGCTTTTTGGATGGTAATGGGAGGGATAGATTACTAAATCATTTAAAAAGGCAGTAATGGAAAGATGCTTGGAGGGCACTTGTGGCTGCCTCATGTTGCTGACCAAGAACAACGCATGTCATAAAAAATAGGATCCAAGAAACGTGGGGCTGGAAAAGGAAGTAAGTCAGTCTCCTACTGAGAAAGTCAGGGATAACTAACCTCTGCAAAATAGAAAATGACCTTGAGGAACACCTCCAGTACATGGGAGAGGTCTTTAGTGGAGGTTCTTGGAAGCTAACTATTTATGTACAGTACTCTCCCTCCTTAGAAAGTAAGCTCCACGAGGGCAGGGACAGTTTCCACTTTTTCTTTGAATTCCTATCTCTTAGCATTTTTCTTGTCTTTTTTTTTTTTTTTTTGAAGATGAGTGAGGTTTTTCTGTGACCCCATTTTGGGGTTTTCTTGACCCAGTTACTTTTTGTCATTT